AAGTATTTTAAAGATTGTTTAGATTTTGATTTTATTTGGAAAGATGTAAAAAGCGGAAATTAATTATTAAAACAGTAATAATACAATTTTAATAAATAATATGGTAAACAATCCTATCAAATTACAAGACAATCTTTATCTTTACAGTGGTGATGTCATCACTATTAATAAATATAGTAGTCCTTTACTAGTAGAGGTCATTAATGATAAAGATAAAACAATTAAATTAAGAGAGATTAAAGATGATAAGTATCTTTCGAAAAATAAAATTAAAAACTTTTTATCTAAATCAAAAGAGTCATTAAATTTCTCAACTAACTTCAAAAATGCTCTAATTTTCGCTATAAAACAAAACGATGATGGTGAAATAAGTTTACAAAGAAAAAATAAATACTTAGAGCTAAATGACAATAAAGAATTTCGTTTGTCATCCAAAGAGAGATTATTGACCTTAAAAAAACAGCAAAGCATAGAAAACATTGCTAGTTATAATGAAGAAATAATTGAAATAAGTCTTTGCGAAGAAAAAGCGAAAAAAATCGGTAATGAAAAATCATTAATTGTTCGTGATTTTCACGATAATGAAAGCGGAAATAGTTCAAAACACACTTTTAAATTTAACGAGACAAAACAAAGAGAACATAGTTTTACGTGGTCTACTGATTTTACTTTAGGGGTTTCAGCAAATTTTAAATTAGTTTGCTCTTCAGTTGCTGGAATAGATATTGGTGGACAATTTCAAGCAAAGTCTGGCATTTCTAACACTGTCAAGGAAACTGATACTGAAACTACCGAAAAAAGCCTTGAAGTTGTCTGTCCGCCATGGAAAAAAATGCAAGTTGTGTCAGAGATTAAAAAAACTAAATTAACTATTCCCTACACAGCAAGCATTAAAAGAATAGTAGGTGGCACGATTTACAAGTATTTGGTGGATGGGGAATATTCTTGTGAAGAAAGTCTTTGTTGCAACTCATCTAACAAAGAAATTGCTGCCAGAAACATCTTGCTAGTAGGCTGCACTGGAAGTAGAAAATCCACTTTAGCCAAAGTTTTAAGTGGTGATGATAGCTTCGAAGAAGGTTCTGGATCAGTTTCAAAAACTAAGTTTTTCAAAAAAAGTAAAGAATTTAAATGAAAAGAAAATGATTACTATGTAATTGATAATATTGGTTTTGGTGATACTGAGACAACCAAAATATCAGAAAGAGAAGAATTAATTAGAATTGGGGAAGCTATTAGTTCTGCTCATCAAGGATTAAGTCAGGTGCTGTTTGTCTTTAGTGGAAGGCTGTCTGATAAAGAAAAAGAAGGCTTTGGCAAGTTAGCAGCTTTGAAAATTACTAATTCTTATATTACCTTGATAAGGAGCAAATTTGTCAATTTTGGTAATAAAGAAGCATGTAAAAAAGATGAACAAGCATTAAAAGAAGAAAGTCCAGAGATTAGTCAATTACTTAACAATTGTCGAGGACTTCTGCATATTGATAATGATGATGATGACGAATATTTACGCAAGGACTCGCGAGAAGAGGTACTAAATTATTTACACAACAATTGCACAGATAAGCCTTTTAAGCCAAAAGAATGAGAAGACATCAGTAGTTTAATTGACAGTTACCTTGAAAAGAAGGCAAAACTAGAAAATGAAAAAGAACAAGCAGATAATATTCAAAAAAAAGCCATTGATCAACAAATTGATATTCTAAAAGAAAATACTGCTGCTCAGGTTAAGGAGAAAATTCAAGGAGAAGAAATTAGTGAAGTCTTTCAATTAGCTCAAATAGTTCAAAAAGAGAAGTAATCTTTAGAGATAAAAGAAACTTAAATTTTTAAAATAAATATGCTACTAAATAAAGAAAAAAGTAATCCAAAAATAATAATCCTAATTGGATCAACTGGCAAAGGAAAATCCACTTTAGCTAATGTAATGGTGAATGTTGAAAATAAATTTATAGAAAGCGGAGCCAGTGTTAGTGGAACTAGAGAAATTCAAAAAGAAGAATTTATTGAAAATAATATTAATTTTGCTGTAATTGATACGGTAGGAATGGGCGATACTAAGTTAAAAAAAGAAGAAGTCTTAGACAAAATAGCTGAAGCAGTTTACTTAGCACGGGAGGGAATTAGTCAAGTTTTTTTTGTTATTGACGACAAATTTAACCCTCATGAAATGGCCAATTATGATTTATTAAAGACTATTATCTTTGACCAGGAGGTTGTTAATCATACTACTATTGTTAGAACTCGCTTTAAAAAATTTAAAGAGTCAAAAGAGTGCGAAAAAGACATTGAGTTAATGATTGGACAAGGTGGAAAACTAGCCGAGATAATTAATTCTTGTCAAAAAAGAGTTATTTACGTAGACAATCCATCTTTGGATATCCTTCCTGCCGAAAATGAAAGCGAAGACAGAAAAAAAAGAAGAGAAGAAAGGATTATAAGAGGAAAAGAAACCAGAAGCATATCTAGACAAGTATTACTTGAGCACTTAAAACAAATTTGTCAGAATCAGGAATCTCCTTACCAACCTTCTAAATTGCAAGAACTAAGTACTGTAATTGCTGATTACATGGAGCAAAAAATAAAAAAAGAAAGGAATTAGAAGAGAAAAGGAAAAAGTTAGGTTTAGAAAGCAAAAAAGAACAAAAAAATAAAACGACTAATTACCAACAACCTGCTACAGCAATTAAAAGTGGTAAAGATGACTTTAGAATCATTTCTCAAACAGATGTAGAAAGTAATAAAGTAGAGTTAGTTTCTCAACAGGAAGAAAAAATGTTCACGGTTGAGAGAAAAAGTATTAGTGAAGACTTTAAAAGCGGAGATGAGAAAGAATTTCTCAACAAGCAAATCAATAAATTACGAGAAGAAATAAAAGAACTAGAAGAAGCCAAAAAATTAAAAAGAGAGATTGAAGAAAAAGAAAAGGCCATTCGGCAAGCAGTCTTAAAACATCTTTTTAAGAACTACAATGAAATTACTGAGGTAACAGGAGGTAGTGATTTTATTGACAATATTGGTCTTTCAAAAGTAAAGGTAAAGGGCGTCAAAGATAGTTCTGTGGAAGAATTATTAAGTCAATTAGAAGAACTAGAAAAAAACTCGGAAGAAAAGGAAGGTTTGATGATTTTGTCATTAAAGGAAATCGAAACTGAAACAGAAAAAAGAGAAAAAGAATTAGTTGAATTAAACAAACAGTTGCTAAATATTAAAGAGATATCCGAAAAATGACAAAAACAAGGATTTAGTATTCAACAGACCCAAGAGTGAGCGGATGCTTTAAAAAATGGTTTTAATCCGGAAAATGATGCTGAATTTTGTGCTTGATTAAGAGATGATAAGAAATCAAAACCTGAAGAAGTATTAGATTACGATATTAAACAATTAAAAAGTGAATATTATGAACAATTAGGAAAAGAAGTAGATATATTTGATAAACATAATCAGCAATTAAGTCAGGAAGAGGAAATAAGTAAAAAAACAGCTAATATCCTAATAATTGGCAGAATAGGGAGCGGCAAATCTACCTTGGCTAACTTATTATTTAATAAAAAAGAAAATTTTGAGAAAGAAGGTAGTTTCAAAAAAGTTTTTAAAGAAGGCGGTAGTAGTGTTAGTAAAACTAAAAAAATTCAAGTCGAAGAATTTGAAGATAGTGGAATAAGATATCGGATAGTCGATACAGTTGGAATTGGAAATACAAGCATGTCATTAGATAAAGTATTACGCAAACTAGCCTTAATGGGTTATTCGGTAAAAGATGGCTTGAGTCAAATATTGTTTGTGACTGATGGTAGATTAGCAGAGGAAGAAAATTCAACATATGATTTACTAAAAAAAGTAGTTTTTGACGAAAGTATTGCTGAATATACAACCATTGTCAGGACCAATTTTGCCGAGTTTTGAAACGAAAAGAATTGTAAAGAAGAGGAAGAAAAAATGATCAAGAGAAGTGGGGAATTCAAGGAATTAATTGAAAGATGTAACAGGATAATTTATGTAGATAATCCGCCAGTTGATATTGCTGACAATGAAGAAATAGTTAATTTAAATATGAAAAGAAGAGAAAAGTCTAGAGAGATGTTACTGGAACATTTGAGGAATGTTTGTCAAGATTGAGCTTATAAGCCAGCTAATTTAGTTCATTTGAGTGATTCAGTTGGTAAACTTATGAAAGAAAAAGAAAGTTCGAAGAAAGGTAATGGGATAAAAGCCAAGCTTTTAAATAGGGAAATAACTAAAAGAATGCTTAAACATATTGGTAATATAGATCCAGAATTAAGGAAAGAGATACAAGAGAAATTAGATAGATTATGAAATGAAGACAAAAGAAATGAACCTGCTAAATGGAACTGGTTTACTAGAAAAAAGGAAAAAGCAGACTTGCAACCCCAAATCCAAATCCCGCCTAAGTAAAAAAAAGGAGCCAAAAACTCCTCTATTAAACTAAGCACTTATTTTATCTAAATTTAGATTTACTAATTAAAAGCACTTAGTAACTGAATACTTTTTTAAAATTAATAATATATAGTAATTTAACCTATAATAATTCCTTATGAATACTAATAATATCTTGTATAGTTTCCTTAATATAAAATGTCTAATTCTTGTAGTTTTTTTCTAATGGCATCAGCCTGAATATATTCGCCTTTATTTCGTAGTTTTTGCCACTTTCTAATTAATAATTTAGTTGAAAAATTATAAACAGGGAAGTCAAATTTAAATCCTAATACGTCTAAAACAAAATAAAAATTATTAATTATTTTCTGTAATTCTTCACTATCATTTTCTTTCTTGTCAATGCTTTTGTTAAGAGAATTAATGGTTTGTTCTAAAAAAAAAAGGACCTTAATTGTGTTAAGATTGTTCAGTAAACTATCAATTATTTCTTTACTTTTTGGTATTTCCTGCCGAGTAATTTTTATTCCTTCTACATATAAGTAAAAGTTCAGTTTTTTAAGCAGGTTTTTGATTTTTTGAGTGTAATCTATGGCTTGCTGAATTAATTCCTCACTAAGATTAATTACTTGATTATAATGAGTATTAAGAATAAGATAGCGCAAAGCATTAGCCTCATATTTTTTAGCAAAATGTTTAGCCAAAATAACATTACCCAACGATTTTGACATTTTTTCTGCTCCTCAATTAATATGGGCAATATGTAATCAAATTTTGCTTAATTCCTGGTTGTTAACGGATAAATATTGAATCCTTTCATTTTCGTGGTGGGGAAATAGTAAATCATTGCCTCCTCCGTGGATGTCAATAGTTTCTCCGTGAAAAAATTCATGAATAAATACGGAACATTCAGTGTGCCAGCCTGGTCTTCCTGCTCCTCAAGGCGATTCTCAGGTTATTCCCTCAGTGGTCTTTTTTCACAGCACAAAGTCCTTATTGTTTTCTTTATTGGCTTGGTTTACTCCCCGCACATTGACTTTTAATTTTTCCAGATTTTGTCCAGAAAGTTTACCATATTCTTTACTTTTTTCAACCCCAAAAAGGATTTCTCCTTGCTGTTGGTAGGCAACTCCCCTTTTTAGTAAATTACTAATAAATTCCTGGATTTGAGGAATATAATTAGTCACTTTTGGCAAATGAGTAGGAAAAAGAACATTATAACGAACTAGATTAGCCAAATAGGATTTAGCATAATGAGTGCTAATTTCTTTTTCACTTTTTTTTTCTTGCTGGGATTTAGCGATTATTTTATCATCAATGTCAGTAATATTTTGAATATAATTTACTTTCAGACCTAAACTTAATAATAAGCGGTGGAGAACATCAAAAATGATTACTGAACGTAAATTACCAACATGAATATGGTCGTAAACAGTTGGTCCACATAAGTAAATGGTGATAGTTTGACCCGGTTGAAGTTTTATTTTGGTAACTTTATTTTCGAGGCTGTTAAATAATTGAAGTTCCATTAAACTAATTTTGTGAAGACAACGATAAGACAAGAAAATTAATTAATAGTTTAAGTTTTGTTTCAATTATTTTTTAACTCATTGGATAACAATTTCTAACTCATAACCAGTCAGAATTATTATCCTCAAATCAGAAAACTAGTAAATAATCTTTATCTCCATAGGGAACTCATTCACGAATATAGATGTCTCGATTACCAATTCTCTTTTTTGGTTTCATTCGGTTTTTGCCATTGAGTTCAGTTACTAAAATATTTAAAACTAATTCGTGGGTCATTCATTCTCGACCTTTTTTTCTTCAAGGATGATCAGTGATGGTTATCTTAGTGATTACTCTTTTTTTAAAAGTAAAAGGGAATAAACAAGAGTAAGTCCATTGTTGTTCTTGGTAAACTTCACTAAATTTTTCGCCAATTAATCTAAACAGTGCGGGCATGTAAACTATCTTTTTCGTTCCCCACAATCACCTTTATTTCGGCTGGAGCAAATAATTTACTCGCTACATTCATTAAGTAGTCCAAAGTAAATTTACTAATCCGACAAAAAAGAATGTCCTCGGTTTCGGCAATAGTTAAATGGATTTTACGAGCCATAGTCTCATCACTTAAATTATGGTCTTCTTGATAACCTAAAATCTTTTCACAGAGTTCGTATTTAGTTTTTTCGGCGGGGGTGGCATTGCGGGGCAAAGCCCAAGAGCCCTTTCCGATATTTTTAGGGTCTTCGGCTTCTTGGAGAGCCTTTTCAAATTCTTTATCTCTTGGCATATTAAGTTTATTTTATATATCTATATAAGTTTTACCAACTCTTATAACTTATAATAGATGCTAATGTTAATTACTTAGTAGTCATAAAGATAAAATAAATAATACATTTTCTAACTCTTTCACTATGAATAAGATTCGCCAACTTTTTCCTTTTTTCACTCATCACAAAAATCTGGTTTATTTAGATAGTGCTGGTACCAGTTTGAAACCCAAAATTGTTATTCAAGACATTAATGATTATTACCAAAAGTACTCAATTAATAACCATAGTGAAGGTAACAATCCCTTATTTAATGAAGTTTGAACAACCATCCAACAAACTCGGGAAATAATTGCTAAAAAAATTAACGCTGAAAGCGAAGAAATTATTTTTCTCCCCTCTACTACCTATTCTTTAAACATTTTGGCCCTTTCTTTGAAAAGTTATTTAAAAAAAGGAGATAAGATTTTTTTAACCCATTTAGAACACAGTTCTAATTGTTATCCTTGGCAGGCTATCGCTCAGGAAAAAGGAATTCAAGTAGATTTTTTACCTTTAAATAAAGATTTTACTATTGATATTAATAAATTAGAAAATTATATTGACCAAAAGACCAAAATAGTTAGTTTTTCTCACCTGAGTAATAGTTTAGGAGTAATTAATCCCGTTAAGGAAATTGCTAAAAAAATTAAAAAAATAAATCCGAATTGTTTAATAATAATTGATGCTTGCCAAAGTATCACCCATTTACCGATTAATGTTAAAGAATGAGATATTGACGCTCTGGTTTTTTCCGGACATAAAGTCTATGGACCAACCGGAATAGGTGTTCTGTGGTTAAAAAAAGAGGTAGGAAAAAAATTGCCTGATATTTTATGAGGAGGTGGAAAAAAAAACAGCCCTAGTGAAAAAAAAGTGGGCTATGATTTGTCCTTGTCCCAAAAATTTGAAGTTGGCACTCTACCTTTGGCCCAAATTTTTGGTTTGCGGGCCAGTTTTGAATTCCTTAATAATTTAGATAGCAAAGAAATAAGTGATTATGAAAAAGAGTTAAAAGACTATGCCGTAAAGGAATTAGCCAAATTAAAAAAAATAATCATTTATAACCAACATTTATTAGAAAATATTGGTATTATTCTTTTTAATTTACAAGACTATCACGCTCATGATGTCGCCGATTATTTGGGTAAAAATAATATTTGCGTTCGGGCTGGTAATTTTTGCTGCCCTTATCTAAAAGAATTAATTAGAGTAGAAGCAGCCGTAAGAATTTCTCTTTTTATTTATAATACAAAAGAAGATATTAATAGATTAGTGTATTATCTGAAAAAATTGGAAGACCAGCCCGAACTGGTTGTTAACTTTTTAAATCCAAGTTAATTGGAAAATTATTTTTTTTCTTCCTGCGTTCGCTTATTCTGAGTTTCATCCTCTCGATTATTAAATTACTCTGCTTATTAGTAATTATTTTTCTTACTCATTTTGTAAACAATAATTCCAACCACAAATAAAATTATGGCTCCTACTCCTATTGCTACCACTGCTATTAAATTATTATTGTCTTTTCCTTTGGAGTTTGTTCCTTCTGCCCCAAATATTTCTTTTTCTAATTCATTCCGACTAAGTGATTGTTTAGCCGTAGGGTTTTGTTGAAAATAATTTTTTAATTCGGCTTGTTCGGGAGTTAAATTACTATCTTCTAATGTTCTAGTTCTTCGTCCGTCTAATTCAATTATTAACTTATTATCCTTGAAAGAGAATGCCACTATTCCTTCTTTTTTCATTCAATTTAGTAACTCTTGCAAAGGATTTTTATTAATAGTGGTTTTACTTCACTTCTCGCCATTTTTCTGGTCGTCTTTTTTGTTGGATTTTTTTTCTAAAAATTCTTTTAATTTCCTTATTTCGTCCTTAATTTCACTGTTATCTTTTGAGTTTTGGCAGGCAGCACATAAATTTTCCCCTAATCGCTTTTCATGAGTAGGAAATTTTTTATAACATTTTTCACAAATTTCTTTTTCTTCCTCATAAGGATTTGGACGGGGAGCCTTCTCGTATTCATAATAGTCAGGAGAATGAGGACTTTCATCTTTACCATTCTTTTTGTTATAAACCTCTTTACAATCTCAATCACAAAAAGTTTTCCCATCTAATTTGTAAGGGGAGTAAAGGTCACAACGAGTTTTTCCACAGGCATCACAAGTAAATTCTTGACTTAGCAATTTAATAATATCGTAAATGTGCCATTTTTTATCATTAACATTCCTTCAATCAGTAATTTCAGTAATCTTTGTTTTTCAATCGCTTACTCCTAATTGAGAGTTAAGTTTAGCCGCAGAAACACCCTTTTCAAGCAACTGTTTTTCTAGGTAATCAATAGCTTTTTCTTGGTTTTCTTTCAATCATTTTGCTTTTGTTTCTCTATCTTCCTGGTCTCAATTTTTTCTTCGCTCATCTTGTTCTTTGTAAAACTCATTCCATCAAGCATCATTTTCTTGTTTTCAATTTTCGTATCAATTATCCCACTTAGAAGAAGAATATGAATAACTATAACTGCTTCCATAAGAATTATCTTTTTTATCACCATATAAGTCATATTCTCTTTTCTTAGCGGGGTCAGATAAAGTTTCATAAGCATTCCCTAATTCTTGAAATTTTTCTTTGGCTCATTCCGCACCACCATTTTTATCTGGGTGATACTTCAAGGCCATCTTCCGATAAGCCTTTCTAATTTGCTCTTCAGAAGGATTATCTTCTTTTTTTAGTCCTAATATTTCGTATAATTTGTGTGTGTGTGTGTGTGTGTGTGTATATGACATAGTAATTATGTTAAATTAAATATTTATATTTTTTTGTATCAAGTTTGTGTGCGTATTTTTTTTATCTTTTATTTTATAAACTTGTCATCAATTTATTTTATGTAGTTTTTGAATTGGGTGTGATTATTTTGGGTTGTCTTCTTTTCAATTATGTTTTTTTAGAAATTCATTGACGGCTTTCCTTTGTTCAGAAGTCAATCCATCCTTTTCCTCTCTTTGTCGGTAGTCTGGATCCCCCTCATCCTTCACGGGCATCAAAAAAAACTTACTCAACATATACTTAATGGCATAAGTTTCACTAGAACCTTTGGCTTTGGCTAAGTCCACATTACTCCCAGCCGCTCAAAAGTTAAACAATAATCTTTGCTCAGGATTTTCACTATCCACTATCTCTAACTTTTTTAAGTATTTAATAAAGTGTTCTTTACCATCTTTTTCATGAATAAAGGGCTGAGTGATATCATCACTTAATAAAAGGGTTAGTTTATACTTATTTAGTAAAGGTCTTAATAATTTAAGGACTTGTAATTCATTAAAGAACTTATATTTTTGGAATTTGTTTTCTTCCGTGCGAATCAGTTCTTTGATTTCAGATTGGATTGATTGGAGTTTGGTGTAGATGTTTAATTTTTCCATAATCATTATTTACTCTTTAATCGGAGATAGTGCCTCAGGAGGACTTATTTTAGAAAATTCCTCTAACAGGTTGTCAAGGTGTATTTTTTTAAGACAGGATTCTAGTGTGCTTTCACGACTGGTTAAGTTTTCTTTTCCCTTGGCAATTAATAACATTTCTACTCCTTCATAATCTAAAAATTCGCTGGTAATTAGGGGAATAAAAGAATAATTGGCAAACTTAGTTTGTAAAGAAGGGGGAAATTTAACTTTTTTCTCTTTCGCTAATCCTACACCTTGAGGAGTAGAGGCTTGAGGATTTTTAACACTAATTAAGTAATCGTCCTCTTTTTGGAGATTGAATTCTTTTTGAGTTTCTTTAATTTGCGAAGGATTAGTTAATTGATAAGTAAAATGACTGTGATTATTATGAACCACTAATAAATATTTTCCAACTCCGAGGCAATGAGAAACTGGCAAAACTCGTTCTCCTCTCGTTTTGGTTGAATAATGCTTTTCGTTTAAGGCTGATAATAATTTTTCCTTATTATTTTTAATGGCTTCTAAAAACAAAAAATAATTTTCCTTTTCAGTAGGAGGCAATTGTTTTTTTCCAACCACTAATAATTGATATTTGTTTTGATTTTGGGGCTGTAAAACGAAAAAAAAACGCTGTACTCCTTCTTTTTTATTGGGATTATTTTCGACCTTTGGGCGATAGAAAAAGTAAACGCTACCACCTTGTAAAACATTAATTGTTTCTGTCATAACTTTATTTTAAACAATAACCATAATTTTTATAATATCAATTTAAGTATTCCAGCACGGAGCACTTTTTAATAATAATTCAAGTGATAGAACTTCAATTATTAGTAAGAGGGAGTCCGCGGTAACTCCCTTTTCTTATTAATCTCTTTTTTGTAATATATCTTTGTCATTAATAAGCATATTTATTTGGTCCTTGATTGGTGAAGGCTCTTTACCAAAAGTATCTTTCAAAATCCCCAATATTTTCTGCTTGCCCTCTCGGGAAATATTTTTATCATTCTTTATTTTGTCTATTCCTTCTTGTAAATAAATCTGTGGGTCTTTTTTTTCTAATTTCCAAGGTTCGCCACTTTCTGCTTCGTTAATAATATAAGCACCGCGATTGATAAGAAATTGTAATTGACTTTTCGCAAATTCCGAGGCAAGACAAAGAGCGTGAATTGGATTTTCGGCATAAATTGGGTAGACTTTTCTTTCTAGATTCGGCAGTGGCAAATAAACTTCACAAGCATAAAGAACTGCTAATTTACCTTCCAAAATCTTTTGGGGGCTGGCAATAGTTATATGCTCTAAACTACCTTTTTCGGTATCCAGTTTTTTAAGTCAGAATGGTATTTTAATCATAATTAACATTTTATTTGAGTAGTGTAATATTTATGTTTTTGCCACTTTTTTAAAACAGTTAGCCTCTGTTTACTAATTGCTTTTGCTAAATATTTAAGAAGTGGCAATTAGTCAGAAATCCTCTTAAATATTCTTTGTCCTGTTTTACTTCCGGTAAAGTTCATTTAATTCTTTTTGCTAGCCAAAAGGACTTATTATGAAAGTGTGAAGTCATTTTTTACTTTCTTATTATCTAGAATATAAGTTAGTGGGATAAATAAGAACCCATCCTTAATTTCTCAGTTTTTATATCTTTGTCATCAAATACATTTTATAAACTTTTACACTTGACCTTGACATCAATTTATATTTTAATAATTTTTTTGTTGGCGTTCTCAATTAATTTTGTTTTTGGCAAGGTAAGCCTCCTCAATATCCTTTTCACTTCCCATTCCTAATTTTTGGGCTAACTCTTCAAAGATTATCAGCCAACGATAAAAATTTTCTTTATTCTTGACCTCTTTTATTGCTCCTAAAAAGTCAATGTTTATTTTTTCAATATTTTTTTTCTGTTCTTCTATTGTTTTTGCTACTTCCTCTTTTTCTCTTAATAACTTTTCCTCACTTTCATTCTTAGTAGCGAGGTATTCTTCTCAACTTTTTTTAATATTATCACTGGCCTTCTGTTTAACTATATTAAAAGGAACCGCTAGACTAAACGACTCCGTTTCTGAAAAAAGAGCCAATAAAAGTTCATTATATTCAGGCTCGGGAACTAATTTTCGAAATTTATAATCAGAAAAATCGATTTGAAAACTGTTTGCTCAACTTAAATAGAAATGTAAGCAATCAATTAATTCTTCTTTAGCCTTTTCTCAATTAACTTCTTTTTGGCTTTTTCAATGCTTAAAAGTTTTTAATTCATTGGCTAACTCGCCGATTTCTACCAAAAGGGCAATCTTGGTGCGAATAAAACTTTCTCTACTGTCCGCATCAGTCAGATTTTTTTTCTGACGAATAAATTCATCTAATTTTTCTTGTTCATTTTGCAATTTGTTTATTGTTTTATTAGTTAGCATTTTTAGGTAGATTTATTATTTTTTTTAGAAAATTTTTATTTGATTATTAATTTCTACCTCCTCCGTTAGAGTCTCTCAGTCAACTTCACTATAAATCGGACGCCGTATGTTCCCCTTAACGCCGTACTTCTCTTCCAATAGTTTCCTAGGTATTGGACTGTGAAGTTTATAAAGATTACAAACCCGATAGGCATATTTAATATACTGATTTTCTCATTCTCATCCTTTCGCTGAATTAAACTTTTCAGCATTTTTATAATTTTTCGCTAGTTTGTCCTTAGGGTGTTCTTTAAAACCATCAATTTTAGCAATGTATGATAATTGTTGTTCTTTAGTAATGTATGTTCAAAACCATTTTTCTCCAAAAGGGGATGACTTCCATAAATCTTTAATTGCTGTTGACAATCCTAAGTAATTCACCCTTCCTTCAAATTCTTCTTCTAGTTCATCAGAAGTTCCGCGGTAAGCGATGATTATATTTGATTTATTCATATTTTTATTTTTCTTGTAATTTATCACTAACATTCTTCTCAATTTCTTGATAAGTTTCGGTATTTTCTAATAAGTAATCGGCAACGTTTTCTTTCCCTTGACCTAGTTTTTTTCCTCCATAAGAATATCAGGTCCCACTCTTTTGAATAATGTTTAACTCGGTGGCTAAATCAATAATTTCTCGCTCCTTTTGAATGCCTCGGGAAAAAATTATCTCTAAATTGGCAGTTTTTTCAGGTTCCCCTATTTTACTTTTCTTTATCAAGGCTTCCACCTCAATACCAATTAATTTGTCATTTTTTTCAATTTTGCTGGTTCTTTTTAGTTTAATTCGTAAGTCGGAATCAAACCTTAAAGCCATTCCGCCAGTAGTCGTTTCCGGATTACCACCATAAAAACCAGTGGAAATTTTATTCCTAATCTGATTAATAAAAATGATAATGGTGTCTTTATTAGTTAATTCATTTTTCAATATTCTTAGTCCATGCGACATCAATAAAGCATGCGAACCAATTTTATATTTTTCTAAATCGTCTACTTGGGGAGATAAATTAGAAACCGAGTCCACTACTATTAAGTCAACACCTTCTCTAATTAAATCCCTAATCATTTCAAAAGTTTTCACCGCACTATTAGGATACAAAATCATTAAATTCTCTTTATCTACTCCAATATTTTGGACATATTTGATATTTAAACCATTCTCCAAGTCAATATAAACGGCTTTTTTTTTTTAATTTTTGACATTCTCTTACAGCGTGTAAGGCTAAGGTGCTTTTACCGCTTGATTCCAAGCCAAAAATTTCTACAATTTTTCCACAAACATATCCTCCTGTTCCAATTGCCTGGTCGAGAAGAAGGCTGCCCGTCGACAGAATTTTTTGTTCTTTTAATTTACTTTTTCCTAAAGTAGTAATGGTGCCTTCGCCATATTCCTTAGTGATATTTTCAATGATTTTTTTTATTTCAGGAAAGACCGAAGGATCTTTTTCACCAAGGCTTTCTTTTTTTTGTGACATATTTAATATTTTTTCTCTTTTTGCTAATTAATAATTTCTTCCTTGTTTTTCCCTTATATACTGTAATACTTTTTCCACGCTTTCGGTAAGAGATAAATGAGTAGTGTCTAATTCTCAACTATCAGCAGTTTTTATCAGGGGGGAAATTTGTCTATTGGTGTCTCTTTGGTCTCTTTCTTCTAATTCCCTTTTCACTTCAGCAGGGTTTACTTTTTTTTCATATTGGTTATTTCTCCTTCGAGCTCTTTCTTCCAAACTAGCAGTTAAAAAAATCTTAATTTGGGCAGTGGGTAAAACTTCTGAGGTGATATCCCGACCAACCACCACTCAACCTTGATTTTTAGTTAATTCTCGTTGAAAATTGAGAATAATTTTTCGTAATTCCGGAAGCGGAGACAATTGGGAAGCCAAATCGCTAATCGGGGACGAACTAAGTTGCGTCCGCTCTTTTTCTAAAACAGAGACTGTTTGTGCTGGATTTTTTTCTAACCAGTTTTTTCAGAGAGAAAGGATTTTTTCTTTCTCATGTTGAAGCGAACCATTTTGCTGATAAAAAAGGGCAAAATGGCGATATAATAAGCCGCTATCAAAAAAATGATAATTCAGTTTTTTGGCCAGCAATCGGCCAATGGTAGTTTTGCCCGAACCCACCGGCCCATCTATGGCAATATTAATTTTTGCCATTTTTTTTCGAACTAGTTAATTCGTCCCAGAATATCACCACCACTAATCCAATCACTAATATTCCTACTCCCCCGCCAATATATCAATATTTTCATTCGTCCCAATGGCTTTTTTTGCTGTCGCCTAAAATACTAGCAGCCGCTCATTCTTTCTCTTCTTTTTCAGGAGATTTTCATCAAGCCTCAAATTCCTTAAATTCGGGGGTTTCTCGAACCATTTTATCAATATCTTCCATTAAGTCATAAAATAATTTTCCGTGGCCTCCTCCTTCTTCACCATCATATTTAATCAACATGGCATCAACGATGGAGTGAGCCAATTCGTGGACAATAGTTTCCACTGCTGATTCAAAACAGATATCATAATAATTTCGGCTGTTTTTTTCTTTTTTTACATCGGTTATTCATTCTTCATAGCCCAACCGATTAAAAAAGAGTTTCTTGCTAAGGGTAATTACTATATTGCGACTTAGACGTGTTTCGTTTTCTTCTTTAATGATTAATACTGAAGTTCTGTTGGGGGAGGCGGGTTTAGGGGGTTTAGTTTTAGGTAAACCTCAACCACTCTCGAACGGTCTATTACAGGTAGTTAAACCAAATGTTTCTATTCCTTCTGAGGAATTTTCAAGGTCTTTTTTGGTAACAAAACCACCATAGCCATTAAAACGAATGATAGGGGGCTGACTGAGAAGAGCAACACTTTCTTCCCAATCTTTTTTTTCTTCGTTATTGTTCACATCCAAAAAATAATTAATATCTTTCTCGGAGTTAGGATTTGCCTCTCTCCCATTAATCATGAATGGAATAAAACCGCGAGTTAAGGGTTTTCCGTGTTTAGGAATTAATTCCCGGGCTTGGTGGTGTCATTTTATTAATCAATCATTTATTTTGGTCTCCATATCTTCCCACTTGGAAGCGAAGGTTTCTTCCCATTTTTCTTGAATTTCCTGTTGTTTTTTTACTTCCTCATAGGGTCGGTTGGTGGAGGTTCTTTCCTTTATTCTTACTAATGTTTTGCCGTCCTCGTAGAGTTGGGCGTAGATGGAGGCTAACATCTCGGGAGTTTCTTTTTTTATTCTTTTTAAATCGTGGCCTTGCAGATCTTTATATAACTTTTTATTAATTTTATCTAATTCAGCCCGCACCTCTTCTTTTTCTTTGCTTGATAATCTTTTAGTTCTCATTTTATCATTCAAAATCCTTTCGGCACCTTTTATCCGGTTTCGATTGTCAGAGAATAGTTTACTAACCTCTTTTCGAGTGGGAGAATTTTTTCATTCCCCAAGTTCAGAATAATCATAATTTGACTTGGTCTTTGTTGGTCATTTTCAATAAATCAAACCACCCGCTAATAAAGCCACCAGTAAGAACAAAAAAACATAAAGTAAAGTGTCGTCGTTTGAACTACTTTTTTTTGAATGCTTGCCAATATTGCTCATATAAACTATTTAAATAATTTTTAACTTCATGGACGCTTATTCTGGTCTGTTTCATATTATCACGCTGGCGGAGAGTAATGGTGTTATCTTGGAGGGTTTGAGTATCTAAGGTGAGACAATAATAAGTGCCAATTGCGTCTTGTCGGCGATAACTTTTGCCAATATTATCAGTTTCTTCATAAGCCGCTGAAAAATTACCATTTTCTAGTAATTCACAATATAGTTGATAAGCCTGGGTTCGGATTTCTTGCTGGCCTTTTTCTTTGCCAACGGGCAGAGGAATAATAGTGGCAAAATGGGGTGCTAAGAGGGGTGGCAATTTTAAAACTTCTCTTTCATTATTTTCACCACGAGAATTTTTTATTATTTCTTTCTGATAACTGTCTTCTAATATTGCTAACATTAATCTTTCAACACCAAAAGAAACCTCAATTACTTCGGGAATAGCACCATTAATACTGAAATCTTTTCCAGAATGTTGACTGTGCTGGGAAAGGTCATAATTTCCTCGGTGGCTATTGCTACATAACTCACCCCAGCCAAAATGATAATTAAAATAAAGGTCTTGCGTTTTTTGGGCGTAATGAGGCAATTCTTCCTTAACTAAGTTTATTTGCTTAATTTTATTTTTATTGTTAATGATAACTTGGTTAAGAAAGTCCCAGGACTTTTTGGTTCAATAGTCTCACCATTTTTCACTTTCATTCGCAGCACAAAAAAACTCTAATTCCATTTGTTCGAATTCTCGAGTGCGGAAAATGCCATGGTGAAGTGTAATTTCATTGCGAAAACTTTTTCCAATTTGGCCGATGCCAAAAGGTAGCGGTCGGTGGATGCTTCTTTGGATAGCCGAAAAATTGGTGAAAATTCCTTGACAAGTTTCCGGTCGCAAATAGACCGTGTTTTCTTTTCTGTCCGTAATTTCTAAATTGGTAGTTAGAAGCAAGTTGAATTGACGAGGAGGCACAAGGGTTCTCTGCCGACAATTAGGACAATTTTCTTCTTTAAGAGTATATTCTGGTTTAACTGCTTCTATTCCTTGGTCAGAAAATAGTTCAGTAAATTTTTTTTCTCTTTCTAAGAAAGAGTTAAACTTGTCTTTTGAAATTACTTTATCTAAGCGGTATCTCCTGCGACAATTCACGCATTCAGTTAACCAATCATGAAAGTTTTTTAAATGTCCCGAGGCTTCTAAAACTTGGGGGTGAGTAATTATTTGACTGTCGCAACTGACATTATAAGGGCTGGAAGTAATGAAATACTTCCACCATAGATTTTTTAAATTCCTTTTTAATTCGGCTCCATAGGGGCCTAAATCCCATGATTTGGCTAAGCCCCCATAAATTTCGGCATTAGGAAGTAAAAATCCATAATGTTTGAGATAATTGGTTATATCTTTTTTTTCGGCTGAATTACTTTCCGACATTTATATAACCTATTTTACTTTTGCCTGCTTTTTTCTTCTCACTATTACTATAGCGGCTACTGCCAAGACTACTAAAAGAGAAACAGGAACAATTACTTCTGGGCGGAAGAAACCTGATTTTTCTGGTTGATTAGTGTTATTGAAGGAGTGATTTTCTAATTCTTTTAGTGCGGAAGTGATCTTTTCCTGATTAGATTGATAAACATCCTTTTTGTAGGAATTAGTGTCATAAACGAAACTGTATAAGCCCTCTTGCACTTCTTTGGCCTGCTTTTTGAGGGAATCAATTGAGCCTTTGATTGTTCCTTTGACTAAGGCTTCGGCTTTGGCTAGCAGTTCATTTAAGCGACTTTTTGTTCCTTCTTTATTGGCACTTTCTGAAATTTCATTTACCACTTCATTTATTTTATTAATATCAGTATACTCCCCATTTTTTAGTTTATTAACTTTGCTCCTTTGTTCCTCGCTTAATTTGTTTTCGTCAATACCATTAGCGGCCAATTTATCTTCTAATTCTTTAACCACGTCATTTCTAAACTTGCTTTCATTCAAACTACCTAATTTATTTCTTTCTTTGTTTACCTCGTTTTGGTGAGCAACATAAAATTCTTCTCCTTCAAACTTAGAAATTTCTTGGAGAATGCCTTTTAATTCTTCATAATCATTAGTACCTTTGGCTCGATTTAGTAATTCATTCAATTTTTGAGACCCTTCCTCATTTTTTTGGGAAATTGATTGTTGAACATTATTTTTAACTTCCTCAGTTCGTAATCGTTTTGCTTCGGGTGAATCACCATCTCCGTCATTCTTTCTTTTTTTACCATTATCAGAAGTATTGGAGTCATTTGTGCCAGGTGAACCACTAGGACCACCAGTGATTTCTTCGTTTGTTCCAGAATTATCGTTAGTTTTTGTTGGCTGGTTAGTTGAAGATGCTGGATTTTCAAAATCATACTTTCACCCTCTTGCCACGGAGAGACAATGGATTTTATTTTTAAATCCTTTAAAAGATTCACCAGCACCATTTCAAGCAGTATATTCATTATAATTATAATGATCATTAAATACTTCTTTTTCTATTTCACTACCGTATTTCGCTATCTTCATTAACTCACTTGCTGCCATCACTGCCTCATTAAACTTAGCCAAATCTCCTTCTTTTTCAATTTTGTAATCTATTTCAACTATTTCTTTTCAAGCATTTTTAGCCCTTTGAATAGCCTTATCTATTTTATTGCTGGCTGCGTCTCGTAACTCCTTTTGTACCTCTCATTTTGATTTTTTTCTGACTCTAGTTGTGCCAGCCTCGGCTAAGTCCAAATTTCCTTCAATGACACCATTTAACTCTAATCTTTTTTGATATCTATTATAATGTTCATATCCAGAAAAGTTTTTTAAAACATATTCTCTACCTTCTTTCAAATATTGGTTAAGTTCTTGAATTTGCTCTTTAGCTGTTTCCTGATTAGAAGAAGTACATCTAATCAAAATCGAATTAATTACTGGACCATTTCATTCTTCTGCAATCTTCTTTGTTTCGTCTAAATCCAATTCTATGCCATTTTCATCTTTTCAAATGCCCTCGTGTTTTCCTTTCAATTTAAAACGCAATTCATTGCGTCATTCAAAGGTTTCCAATGGAATATTTCCTTGCACCTCAAAGGATCTATAAGAAAAAACTCCATTTGAGTGGGTAGTTGTCGCCCCTGACTCTAATTCTATTTTTACTCACTCATTTTTATGTCCATAGTAATGCATTTGATCGCCTCCTTTTCTCACTCATAGAGAATCACCTCCATCAACCCCTTCAAATGTCACAACAAACCCTCTTGATGCTTCTTTTATTTCTTTTATTTTAGCAATTATTTTTTTTGTCTTTGTCATATTTTAATATTAAATTATTTATTTATTTTGTACATATCATTAATTATTTGTAAACTTTCTATACATATTTTATAAACTTTTTGGAGTGAGAGTTGACATTTTTGCCAAATTCTAACTTAAACTGACTGAAAAAATTCCTTGTTTATTCCTTTTTATTCGTTATCTTTTTTCTTGGCTAATTCTCTTTCCAAATAATATAATTTAGCCCGTCGAACTTTTTGATTAATTTTGCCAATTTTTTTAATACTTGCGATGAGAGGAGAATGATAAGAATAAATGCTTCTAATTGCCACTTTATCACTTCCCTTGCTGTCCTTTAACACCGAAAAAGTATAACTGATTTGTCCTTTATTTTTTTGAGTAATTACCGTGCCTTTAAAATGGGTTAGCCGATATTTTGACTTTTCACCAGTTTTGGCTTTTTCCGTTTTGTTAAGGTTCTTGATAGTAATTTCTACTTTATCACCAACTTGTAAAGGAGGTAAATCAGTGCGAAAATATTGTTTAGTTATATCACGAATGGTATCCATAATTTAATTTTAGGTGGTAATGATGGTAAAAAATAATCTAATTATTGTCGTATCTCTTCTAACTGAGGTGGTTGGGGAAAAGATTTTTTAACTTGAAAATCAAACATAATGCTATCATATAAAGGAATAGGTTTAATTCGTTCCCCTTCTTTTTTTAATTTAATAATTCCCATGGCTACTAATGATTTTACATCTTTATAAACATTAGCATAATCGCGATTTAATAATTTGGCTAATTGATAAAGGGATTGAGGTTGTTTTTCAACTAAACAAGCAAAAAGTTTTGGTCGAGGAGAAATGAACTCCTCTGTAATATCTTTGATGCTGGCGAAACTAATTTGATGCAAATGGACAGATGGTTTACCAGTTCGCACGGCTTTTAGCATATCTTCTCCCATTTTTTCTAGGGAAATAGTTGGGTCATATTTAAAGATGAATGTTTTTTCTTTGTTCATAGCAACTTGTTTTTTGTTAAAAAATAACACCAAATTTCTCGTAAACTTTTTTGTAAAATAGATCCAAAGTTTCTTCTAATGAAACCCACTCTAATTTTACAATTGGTTCTTGATCAAAATGATAGTGAAATCCTTTTTTTAGGTTATAGTCAACTAATATTCGTTCAGCAGGGTTATCTTCGTTACAAGCAATTCAGCCAAACTTTAATCCACTAGGATACAGATGCCTTTTTAGTTCAGGGACTAATCAGATATCCATTTCGATAATAATCGTTTTTCCTGAACTGGTAGAAAATCTTCCTTTCTTTCAGTAGATTAAATTCGCCCCATCCATTTAGCATCTATATCTATTATTTTATAGGTTTTGGAGAATATAGGTGTTGATATTTTACCATACTTTATTAACGGTTTAATACATAATAATTGAAAAAAAATCTATTAATAACATGTCTTTTTCTCCCAAATACGATTTTCACTTAACCGAAAAAAATCCCCAAACAAATTATTGAAAGAAAAGAGCAAAAAACGCTTCTACTAATTTTGCTAGCACGTTGTTGCTGCCACCTCCTAATATTACTGGTAATTTACACTTGGGACATGCTTTTGAGTCAGTAATTCAAGATTTTTTAGTTCGCTTTTCTCACCTCAATCAAAAGCCAATTTATTGAATAGCGGGAATTGACCATGCGGGGATTTCTACCCAGAGTAAAATTGAAAAATTGCGGCTTCCTGAACTTGATGCTGACGAAAAAAAAAGAAACTATACTTTCCAAATTTGATATCCTCAAACTCGCCAAAATTTTTATCAACAATGAGAAAAACTTGGACTATTGATTGATTATGAAAGGGCTAGTTTCACCTTAGATCCTATTATTCAAAAGCAGGTTAGGGAAGCCTTTATCAAACTTTATCAGGACGGATTAATTTATCGGGGCAAAAGGTTAGTAAATTGAGATCCTAAATTAAAAAGTGTAATTTCAGATATCGAAGTAGAGCACAAGCCCGCCAAAAGTAAATTATATTATTTAAAATATCCTCTCTTGGCGAACACTGAAAAACGGACAAATCAGGAAGAAAATTTACCAAAAGTAGTAAGAGTAGTTATCCAAAATGAAAAAGGAGAAATTGTTTTAGTAAAAGATAAAAAATGAGGATGGAACTTTCCGGGCGGCAAAATAGAACCGGGCGAAACGCCAGAATTGGCCGCTAAAAGGGAGATATATGAGGAAACTAATCTAGAAGTAAAAAATCCAGAAAGGGTTGCAGAAGAAATTGTTTTTTTTGCTAATCAATATTGAAAAGTTTATTTTTTTTATGCTAAAAACTCTTCAGGCGAAATAAGAATTAAAGAAACAGAAAAAATTTCAGCGGTTAAATTTGTAGACTATAATTCTTGGGAGGCTAAAGAAGGGAGTGGACTCTACCGAAGTTTTTTTACCAATTTTGATGAATATCTAAAACCATTAAATTCGGCAAAAAATGATTTCTTGTTGGTTGCTACCAGCCGCCCTGAAACTATTTTTGCGGATGTGGCTTTATTCGTTAACCCGCATGACTTGCGTTTTCAAAAATACCTCAACCAGTCAATAAAACACCCCTGGACGGAAAAAATTCTTCCCATTTTGGCGGATGAAAGCATTAAAATTGACTTTGGGAGCGGAGTTTTAAAATGTACTCCTGCACACGATTTTATTGACTATGAGTTGGGGAAAAAATATCAATTGCCAATTATTAGTTGTTCTGACGAAAAAGGCATTTTAAACGAATTAGCAGGAAAATGGCAAGGACAAGAAATTAGTAGCATTCGCGAAGAATTTGTTAAAGAATTAGAAAAAAAAGGTATCTGTGTCAAAGTTGAAGAGTATGAGACCAATTTGGCTTATTCTTCTAAATCAGGAGCGATAATTGAGCCTCTCCTTTCCCAACAGTGATTTCTCGATTTACCGGCTTTAATTAAGCAGGTAGAAAAAAAACAGCCCAATTTTCTAACCAAAATAAATTTTACTACTAGTCAATTCCGAAAAACTTTGGAAGAGTGGTGTAAGAAGGCTCATGAGTGGTGCATTTCTCGCCAGTTGTGGTGAGGTCACGGGATACCCGCTTGATATCATAAAAAAACTGGTGAAATTTATGTTGGTGAAGAACTTAATAAATGTCCTTGTGTAGAACATTATAAAAGAAATCCAACTCGTGGTTGTATATATCATAAATGTTCTTTACAAGAATGAATACCTGAAAAAGACGTTTTGGATACTTGATTTTCCAGTGGCTTATGGCCGCTGGTTGTTCAGACTCAAGAAAAGGAAAAATTTCCTTCACCTCAACCTAATTGTTATCCAATAACTACTCTTGTTACAGGCTACGATATTCTTTTCTTTTGAGTGTTAAAAATGGTATTGCTGGGGACTTATTTTACTGGTAAAGTGCCTTTTCAACAAATATTATTGCATGGCCTAATTAGAGACAAATCAGGGAAAAAAATGTCAAAATCTTTGGGGAATGGAGTAGAGCCGGACGAATTAATAGAAAAATATGGTTGTGATAGTTTACGGCTTTTTTTATTAGAAAATAATGTTTGGGGTTCAGATTTAATTTACGAGGAAAGCAAAGTTATTGGTAGTTGACGCTTTTGTCAAAAATTATGAAGTATTGGAAATTTAATAACCAGTAAAATACCAACTAATGAATTAAGAAAAATTAAGAGGCAAAAAAACTTTATGAGGTTATTCTCCCACTAAAAAAAAACTATTCACCGAGCAGGAACGAGTGCCAAAAGACAACAAAAACATAAAGAAGAAAAAAAAATTTACTCTTCTTTAAAAAATTTCCTTCACTCTTTCAGAAAATAGTTGCTGTTTTCTTCTACAATTTCTAAAATTTTTCTTTCTTCGGAATAAGTTAGTCCACGAGATATTCTACTGATAAATCTTTCAATAAAACTTTCATAATTCCTCCCGAGCCTTCGGCATGAACATGCGGCTCTTCTCCGCGGTCATGAGAAGTAAAGAAAAAGCGAAAACCTTTTTTCTTTTCAAAACCTTTTATTGTTGGCATTTTTTTTAGCAACAACCACTTTCTAAGCCGTCAGTAAATACTCGTAAACTAATATCTTCATCCAATTCTGGTCAATGAATATGGTAGGCATCTGGCAAAATACGATAATTTTTTAACTGT